ATTTTCGTCTTTTTATATTTATAAGGTAATTCAATTAACACACGGAGTTCTGATTAACATTTTACGCTCTCTAAGTACCCTAAATCTGAGAGTTATCGAAATCGTTTTTACGTTTAAATTGTCTAGACAAGTGTACTATGTCTGAATAAAATAGAACCATTCTTAAACCCTTCAAATCATTGGATCAGTATGCATATTCTCTATACTAAATAAATAAAGGGGTAAGTTTCTAAAGAAACTGTGCTACTGCGTCGGTGGGAGAGTATAGCAGGTAATTTAGTGTTAACAACTGAGTTGAAAACGTAAATTAGCCATCATAAAGGGTAAAAAAGCTGACGTTTCGAGCGTTAGCCCTTCGTCAGAGCGATAGGAAGGGCTAACGCTCGAAACGTCAGCTTTTTTACCCTTTATGATGGCTAATTTACGTTTTCAACTCAGTTGTTAACACTAAATTACCTGCTTTTCTCTATACTGATCTCTTCACATTGACAATGGTATTTATATGGAGTATTGTCCACCAATTCAGAGCTTTTCTGGTGGCGGATCATTTTCCTGATTTCATGACCTTTACGGGTGATCATTTTCTTTATTCCCATGACCTCAACGTTTGATTCAAAGTGTTACAGCCACTAACTGTAAGGAGACGTAAGATGTCAAACACTCTTAGGGATTAAAAGGTTAAGAGAAACCGATATAGAGGAGAATCAAATGCGGTAGATGATTCATCGTACCAACAGTGCTGCAAAAGTTTGCGAGTCATCCCAAGTTCTTTTAAAAATAATGGTAAATAAAATGTATCGTTTTTCATGTTGCCTCTTTTCTTCCATTGTATACTAACTTAACTTGCAATACTGACACTACTTGAATCCTTGACGAACAACTGAAAAGCAACCATAGCTTACACTTAGAAATAGACACCCACAGCTTGCTTACTGAGATACATTGGCATAAATGACTGTAAATATATGAAAATCATGTATGTGAACTGCGGAGAAAGAAATAAGTATGGAACCGACCTTCTCAGTATTGAACACTTCTTAAGCAGTTGTGAAACTACGGCCTGAAAAAAAATCAGGCCCGCACAGGACTTCAATCCTTTAACTCTGCGATATCGGTGCAGCACTTTACCAACTGAGCTTAAGAACCAACTGGGAGCTGACCATTACGTCGGTTTCAAATAAATCCGTGAAGTATAAATATATGAAAATAATTTATGTGAACTGCGGAGAAAGAAATGAATATGCATGAGTTCAAATTCCGTACGGGCCTGAATTTTTTCGAGCCTTATTTTCACTACTGCCTAAGTAGTGTTCATTACTGCGAAGATCGCTTTCATATTCATACATCAACATGGTTGCGGCAGCCATAGGTTTTTTAATTTCCTTACGAATGTAAAAGTACCCTGACCAGTTTCACGTATCAGTCCTAATAATGGTTTCCAATCTCCCCCAACACAGCCATCTTCTCTATTAATGCTTTCAGCAAATCACTTACAGTGTGCATCAATTATAATGGTTCCTTTCACAAAATCATTTAGTTTTTATTTCCTGGCAAATTTTCTTACCTCACAAAGGTGACATGTAATACCACAACTTTTGTGCTCACCCTCTAGTTGTGTTTCGGAAACAGACCCTTCCATAATATATGGCAAGGTGAAGTGCCTTCAACCCGTGGTTTATGCCACCTCTGCAAGGTTGAGGTGCATGTTGCTGAACAGTTTTCATCTGCCTCGTGTTGTAGTTCTGTGACATTTTTCTAATTATAAAGAGTGTAATTGCACACCTTTGGCATCATAGCTAAAACGTATTTGCAAATTTCGGATTGCAGTCTAACTGAGTGCCTTTAAAACTCGGACTGTCCATTTTCGTTTTCTCTTTGAGGATTTTCGTCTCTGCTCACGTTTCAATAACGTAAATTACGACACCTAGAATGTTTATAAACCTTTGTTTGGTTCTTCTGTTGCTACTTTCCGGCTCGC